CTTCAGAAATCATTCTAATATGCTGATTTGCTGTTCAAGAAACATTTCTGATTATTATCAATGTTGAAAAACATATCAAAACATGAAAACTGTGATACATTTGATTTTTCAGGATTCACAGATGAACAGAAAGTTCAGAAGAACAGCATTTATTTGAAATTGAAATCTGAGTCTTTACTGTCACTTTTGATCAATTTGAAGCTTCCTTGCTGAATAAAAGTATTAATTTCTTGATAAAAAATCGTACTAAGCCTAAACATTAGTAGTTAAATTTTTTTTTTTATATGTATATTTAAAGCTGCAGTCCGTAATTTTTTTGTGTTCAAAATTGATATAATAAGCGAGTACACCATGAATCCATTTTCCAAACCGTGTTTTTGGCTTGTCCTGAATCACTACGGTTATGTATTTTAGCTAGCTGCCATGGCAACATTTCTCATTTTCATTTAGCTTAACAGGATGTACTAAAATAACTAAAAGTTAAATAATAAATTATGAAAACTATAGACATATATAAAGAAAAGTAAACCCAATCAAATAATAAACACACAGCAAAATTACTAAAACTTTAACTAAAATTAGAATAAAAATGGAAAACAAAAATAAAATGAAAATGTTTTATTGAAAATATTAATAAAAACTATAATATTATTTTATAATAGTACTAAAATAACACTGGTATTAAATCATAAATCACTGAATTTCATAAAACTGAGAATTTCCAGAAAAATTAAAACAATGTATGAGTTTCTGGGGGAAAAAGAAAGAAAATAAAAAATAAAAAGATAACATAAATAAACATTTCATAGGGTACCATTGGTGTTTAGATCTTAATAAATAATTTTTTTGTTAAAATGATTCAATTGATGAGACACCCTTTTTGAGTATTAAAATGGAATCAAACCATTAATACAGATTGCAGAAAATGTTAAATGGAAAACACTGAATTTGAGAAAAAAGTAATAAAATGGTTTTCATGGGTCTTATGTATATAAAATGCAAAATACTGGAATAAACATTTATGATACATTATCCCTATTCAGAAGTTAGTTGTGGACCCTCCATGAATCCATGAATAAGTGATGGGGACTGGGGCGGAAGGAATCGTCCCTTGGGCTGACAGACAGACATATTTAGGAATAGAAGCACAGAGAGAGAGAGAGTTTAGAGCGTCCCTGCTGAACATACGCTGTTTCAGGGGTCAAACTGACGTCATCAAACATCTCACACTTCAGCCAGCTCATAAAGGTGAAGAGCGTTATGACACAACCGGTTACGCCACGGGCATGAGAGCGAGAGAGGTTTCTCCTCTGGATAGACTGTGATTAAAGCAGAACTGGTCATTACATTAAACATCAGCAGGTGCATCTGTCAGAGATCATCTGGAGGTTCACAACTCATTAAGACAATAGTTTACACTGAGTTATTTTCCATTCACTGAAAGTAAACAGGGACAGATGCCATTAACCTCCAAAAAAGTATTATAAAAAGTTTATTTGACTTGTGCACTATATATTTATTATACTGTATATTAAATAATTATTTTCTGAAAATCTGAGCTCTCAAATTGTATTCCACTTGCTGTGTTTCGATTGGTTACAAGACACATGAGAACCAATTACTTTTGGTGTCACTGACAGGTTTGGAAAGACCTGAGAGTGTGTAAATGAAAAGGAAACCAAATTAACCTAATTGCATCCCTTCAGTTAAATACACATACAATTTAGTATGTATGAAATGACGTTGTGGCGGATAGACTTCCACTGAACTGTGTGCTGTGATCCTGGACACTTCGTGTCGTCTTAGAGGAATAGTTCACACAAAAATAAAAATTTGCTCAATTTACTCACCTTCAGGCCATCTGAGATGTAGATGAGTTTGTTTCTTCATCCTATAATAAGTGTTTATATTCAGACTATTTTAGACTGGTTTGGGTAGGTGCCGCTGCGGAGGAGCCCAGTACCTGCGTTATTCGTCATAGACATAAACAGAGAGAAGTAGATCCGGATACAATGTTCTTCCGCAAGACGCACGCAGTTCTGTTTATTAACCGCTAGAGCGACAAAAGTTACGGACTGCAGCTTAAATGATTAAAACTATTTACCTTCAATGCTTTCATATGGCTTCAGAAGACTTTTTATGATACTGTTATGGTGTTTTATCTCTGTTTTGGGGATTGAACAGTGTGAACATTCTACTAAACATCTCTTTTTGTGTTCCACGAAACAAAGCGAGAAGGACATGAACGAGTGATGATAGAACGTTCCTTCGCTCTGAACCGTTCCTTTAAAGCTGAATGTGAGATCTGATGGTTTTTAAGTGTTTTTTCCCCTGTCCTCGGTGGATTGATGTTTACACAGCATCCAATTCCTGCCCAAATCTCATCAGGATCTTCCGATTAAAGTGGGTTTCTGCCAGCAGGACGTAATGACTAAAGAGAACAACGTCCCAGTTGAGCTGGAATCACACACACACACGAGCTGAGCGTTTTTACAAACCATGCTAATCTACAGCAGGTCACAGATGATGCACAGAGTTTGATTTAAAGTTTTATTGTCTTGTGTGTTTCAGGTGGTGCTTGTCTTCGCTCTGAGCATCGGAGCGCTTGTGATTTACTTCATCGACTCCTCTAAGTAAGTATATGTTCGTTTTGTTGCTGTGCATTTACATACAGGGTTCAAAAATATCCACCAACTTTCACATGCAAGCAATAAAAAATGCAAAAAATAATACGCCTCGGTAGTTGACTATAATACATGCCTTAAATTGAATCTTAAAAGTCTGTTAAAATCAAGCATAAATATTCTGGTCTGGTCGAATAGACCTTTTGACAGCGATTTGGTTTTCATTTGGTCTAAAAAAAGCCTTTGAAATGAAAGAAATTGTTAAAATTTTATTTGATTACATTTTATTTGATTACCATAAAAAATGTGTCACTTGCAATAAAATTAATTTTGCACGCCGATTGCCCCCTCGGAGACATCGTGTGCGTGCTCTTTGCCAAACAAACAACATATAGATCATGTGTGTCATCAGATGTTAAACAACGTCAACACGGATGCACACATCCTTAAATGCTTTGCTAGTGCTCGCCATAATGAGATAAATAGAGAATTGTCTTACCACAGAAATGCACGCTTCAAACAAAACAGTCAATGAAGACGAAGAAGAGAATGATGTATGCTCCCGGCGCCTATTTATACTATAGTCGCACCAGTAGTGACGTCATGGCTGTCGCCGGCCAACGAGTTGGTGTTTTTTCAATGTATGCTTCAGACACGGGTCACGACGAGGCGTTCCCCATAGCGACCCCTAGAGGACGCAGTTCGAAGTTCCCATGAAAGGGAAGCTGAAACTAATCCAGCATTAAGATGTTTTTAACTAAAATACAAGTCCATAATCCATAATAACTCTTCCTCCAGTGAAAAAGTGTTCTGGTCTGAATCAGGAGAGAAATCTGCACAGTTCAAGCACCGTTTAAACAGCTCTAAATAAATATGTGGCTGGATTTTGATGCAAGAGACAACAGGAGATGGACTTTTTCACTGAAAGAAGCGTTATTATGGATTATGGACTTTGTATTTTGATCTTGGATGACCTGAGGGTGAGCACATTTTCAGCACATTTTTATTTTTGGGTGAATTATTCTTTTATTATAACATCTAACACATGCAGGAATGTGCGCATGGTTAATTTTCAATATCATAAATCATCAAAAGCAATGTCTGTGTTTCAGAAACAGTCTTACTTGTTTCAGTAAATCTTGTTCTGACCTATTGTGGTGTAATCTTTCAGATCTTTCATATCTGAATAGCATGTCCTGTTCAGCATTAGAAACACGCACTCATGCCGTCCTGCTCAAAACAGACCTGTTGACGCAGGAAGTGAGCCTTATCCTCTTCCTCATTAGTGCATCATGGGGGATTTAGCAATTTCATTTGAGACTTTAGCCTCTGGCTAGCAGTGTTTAATTGTCCTGAGCGCTGTAAACCTGCAGCGGGGCATCGGGTCACGGCCGCAGGACAGCATTAGAGTGTGTGCTGAAACCACATTAGAATATGAGTGGGTTTGTTTGTCAGAGACACAGCAGGTTCAGACGTGGGTGAGCGCCGTTTCTGTGTCTCTGTTGCCTTGATTCTCAACATCTGTTTGCCTGCAAGAAGTGTGACCCAAACACATGCCACAAACTCTCTTGCGTTCATTAAGATCCTGTGAATATCACTGTGATGAATGATTATTGTGTGAATGAGAAAAGTGCAACACAGATGCAGAAAGGGCTGCAGACAAAAGCAGGATGGATGGATGAACAGATGGATAGATAAATGAATGGATACTTGGATGGATAGAAGCATGGATGGATGAATAGATGAATACTTGGATGGATAGAAGCATGGATGATGGATGGATGGATGGATGGATGGATGGATGAATGTCTAAATAGATGGATGGATGATAAAAGGATGGATGAATGCTGGATAGATGGATGGATGGATGAATGGCTAGGTAGATGGTTGATGGATGGATGATAGATGGATGGATGATAAAAGGATAGATGAATAGTTTGATGATGAATGGATGGATTGATGGATGGATGGATGGATGAATGTCTAAATAGAATACTTGGATGGATAGAAGCATGGATGGATGAATAGATGAATACTTGGATGGATAGAAGCATGGATGATGGATGGATGGATGGATGGATGGATGGATGGATGGATGGATGGATGGATGGATGGATGGATGGATGGATGGATGGATGGATGGATGGATGGATGGATGGATGGATGGATGGATGGATGGATGGATGGATGGATGGATGGATGGATGGATGGATGGATGGATGGATGGATGGATTGATGGATGGATGGATGGATGAATGTCTAAATAGATGGATGGATGATAAAAGGATGGATGAATGCTAGATAGATGGATGATGGATGATGAATGGATGATAGATAGATGGATGGATGATAGATGGATGATGGATGAATGATGGATGGATGGATGAAAGGCTAGATGGTTGGTTGGATGGATAAATAAATTAATTTATGAATGTATGGATGGATTTTGCAGATTAGGGTGGAAGAATGCTTAATTTCCCAGAATTCATCATCTGAATTTCATGTAACTTAGTAAGTTGATTTTCCTGTTGTTCTCATTCCAGTTCAGCTTCCTGTGTGTTGTGTCCGATTCAGTTCAAATTCTGAGTCATGATCTGAACTGGAGCAGAGCTGATTGTTGAGTTGAGAGTTGTTTTTCATGTTTGTTGTATGTGTCCTGTGACCTGAGCCTCCTGTGAAGTATTACTTACGTTAAACGTCTCTTAATTATAGTCGTCTCTCTGACCCGCGGGTGTGTTGTGTCCGATTCAGTTCAAATTCTGAGTCATGATCTGAACTGGAGCAGAGCTGATTGTTGAGTTGAGAGTTGTTTTTCGTGTTTGTTGTATGTGTCCTGTGACCTGAGCCTCCTGTGAAGTATTACTTACGTTAAACGTCTCTTAATTACAGTCGTCTCTCTGACCCGCGGGAACAGAACCGAGCAAACAGAGCTGGATAAGAGTTGCGTTTCTCAGTCCTGCAGCTGTTCTGAAACTCCTTCAGGTCGTGAGTTTCACAGCTCGCTGTTCTCTCTTGGGTCCTTTAATGTTCTCAGCTTTTGTACAGGAGCGTTGAATCGCTTACACTAAAGTCAAAGCCGATCCACCGGAATAACAGACTGGAGCAGAGAGCTTACTGTAGCGCTCTGATCTCTGAACCACTTCCTGTAATTGTGTCAGTCGGTCTCACCAATCCTGATTCTTCATCCCAAAAGAAAGTATATATATATATATATATATATATATATATAGTTTCACTATTTATTTATTTATTTTTAGGATTTAAGATTTTTAAAAATGTATATATTTTCATGACATTTCCTCCCAAAACATTAATTTAATAATAATAATAAAAAACATTGTCGTTACTTTAATGTGTAAAAAATATATTAAAATAAAACATATTTTAAAAATGTGTTTATACATCAAGATAGTGTTGCTGGTTTTTATTCATGCTGAGGTTATGCTGACCAGAGTTTCCTGAATGTAATAGAATTGACAGAATAATTAATGAATAAAAAATAAAGAATTGAACTAACTGAATTAAAATTAGGTAACATTTTGTAACTTTTATTGTACTTTTTTATTGTATGATGTAATGAAAGTTTTATATGTATATAATTTATGAATTTACTTTGTTATATGAATTATACATATTATATTACATAAACATAATTGTGCTGTCAAATTAATCGCATCCATAAATACGTTTTTTGTTTATATATTTGGAAAATATTTACATGTATTTACATACATATATTTATATTCATATAATTTATATTATATACAAATATATTTAATATGTACATCACATATTTTTCTTAAATATATACATGCATGTGTGTGTATTTATATATACATAATAAATATACACAGTACACACACACGTTATCCAAACAAATCTTTTATTTTGGATGTGATTAATCGCGATTAATCATTTGACAGCACTAAAACATATTGTACATATTGTATTGACAATAAGAATATATACGGTTTAGAATTTTTTCACATAATAGCATACATCAAAATATTATTGAGTTAATAATTCATAATATTTCTGAATAGTTTTCTGCTTTATAATGATGTTAGTTGTTTTCGCTGTCGGGAAAAGGATGCATTTAACACCCGAATGAGAGCTGCATTATAATTTTATGAAATGAGATAATTAATTATTGCTAAAATTAGTTGATCGATCAGCCAGGTCAAGACAAATGCTTTAATGAAATAATGCTTAATGCAAATGTTAAAGATTCAAACTTTTAATGTATAACATTATACCCATTATATCCCAGGTTCTTGCAGTGAGGTTGAATGATTGTATTACACTGAACCTTCATTAAAGTTAAGCGAGGTCTGTTTTTCTGTGTTTAAACAGACCCATCGAATCCTGTCAGCATTTCGACAAGGACTACACATTGCAGATCGACATGGCCTTCAACGTGTTCTTCCTCTTGTACTTTGGACTGCGTGTAAGTTCGCCTTCAGTTGCTGGTCCCCATTGACTTACATAGATGGGAAAAAACACTATGCAAGTCAATGGGGACCAACATGTGCTTTACAAACTTGCAGATGCAGTAATTTACCATTCAGTTCATTTCAGTGGCATTTTAGTATTTGTTACATGCCATTATATATTTGTTAATATTTTGAATGAGCTTTTATTGGTATATTTTAATTTTAGTTTAGGTTTTAGTCATTTTAATGTTTTTTTTTGAGTAATTTTTATTAGTTAAATAGTAGAACAAAATATTTCTGTATAGCTTTGATTGGTTTTTATTTAGTTTTAGGCATTTTAGTACTTAAGTTTAACACACGCATTTTTAATTTTCATTTAAGTTTTTGAAGTTTTAGGGCATTTTCTCTAATATTTTAAAAAATATTTTATTTTTGATTATTTGATTATTTAGTTTATTTTAGTGTTATTTTAGTAGTAATTATATACTATTATATATTGCTTAATATTTTGAATGAGCTATTGTTGTATTTTAATTTCAGCTTTAGTGTTTTTATGTTTTTTTATTAGATATTAGAAAAACCTTTCTGTATAGTTTTGATTTGTTTTTAATTTCAGTTTTTGTAAATTAGTACTTCAAATTATGTATTTCTAATTTTCACTTAAGTTTATGTTTAGGTTTTTCATCTAATATTTAGATTTGATCTAATTATCTAATAGTTTTGTTATTTTAATTATTCAGTTTATTTCAGTGTTATTTTAGTATTAATTGTATTCTATTATATATTTCTTAATATTTTGAATTAGCTTTTATGTTCCTATTTTATTTTAATTTTAGTAATTTTATATTTTTGCCATTTTTATTACTTAAATATTAGGAAAACATTTCTATACAGCTTTGATTTGTTTTTATTTCAATTTTAGTCATTTTGGTACTTCAACTTTACTTTATTATAACGTTTTTATGTAATTTTTATACTTTTATGTTTTATTTTGTATTTTATATATTTTATTTTATTTAAGAATTATTTCAATTTCCAAAAACCATTTATAACAGGTTTATTTTTTCATTAACAATAACAACTCTGGTTTATTTATCGACTGACATGTGTTTTGTCTTTCTTTTCTGCATCTTCACAGTTCATCGCAGCCAATGATAAACTGTGGTTCTGGCTGGAGGTGAATTCAGTGGTGGATTTCTTCACCGTCCCGCCTGTGTTTGTGTCCGTGTATCTGAACAGGAGCTGGCTGGGTAAAACACTCTCCCATTACTGACACTTTACCTTTAATACCTGATTATTTCATCAGATTATGTCAGAAATGTAAAACCCACAGGCAGATATTATTAGATAAAGGTCTGCACCGCCACCTGCCGGACATTAAACGCATTAGCCTTAATCGGTCAGTAAACACAATCTGTAACACACAATCCATTACAGCAAATCAGTTTATTCAGCAGCTCGCTGGGATTTGTGATCTCTGGCGTGCTGGGAATTAGAGAGACGTTGTCTAGAAATCCTCTTATTGTTTAAAATAGCTGATTGTTTGTTCTCATGCATCATTTCTGAGGTTTTTTGAGGGCATGAGCAGCTCAGGTCACTTCTAAACCTCTGAATAATTATTTAAGTACAGCAAGAATCATTCAGCTGCTCAGAAACAGACAGGTTTATTAACTGTTGTGCAATTACAGACTGTTTTTACTAATTTAGGTCAGAATGATTGTCTGTGGGAATGAAGCAGGACGCAGATGCTGCTCATAGTTCTGAACCGCGATATTCTTTTAACGAAGCGTGTTTAATTAATCGCTGGATTATGTGATTTAATTGTTTGGAGTAATTGTTGCAGTGCAGCTGAAACCCATTTTCTAAATGAGCTTGTGTTTGTGGATTGACTTTGTACTTCAGGAGATTTCCAGGATGTCTGATAAAGTCTGTTTTAAAAGCTTAGCTGGTCAAAAACTGGGCATTTACTGGACGTTTATTCAGCAAGGATGCATTAAATTAATCAAAAGTGATAGTAAAGACATTGATAATGTTCCAAAAGCTTTCTATTTCAAATAAATGCTGTTCTTTTGAACTTTCTAGTCATTTCTTCACCGTCCCGCCTGTGTTTGTGTCTGTGTATCTGAACAGGAGCTGGCTGGGTAAAGCACTCTCCCATTACTGACACTTTACCTTTAATACCTGATTATTTCATCAGATTATGTCAGAAATGTAAAACCCACAGGCAGATATTATTAGATAACGGTCTGCACCGCCACCTGCCGGACATTAAACGCATTAGCCTTAATCTGTGAATCCTGAATATTAGCATATTATAATGATTTCTGAAGGATCATGTGACACTGAAGACTGGAGTTATGATGCAGAAAATTCAGCTCTGATCACAGAAATAAATTACAGTTTAACTTATATTCACATAGAAAACAATTATTTGAAATTGTAATAATATTTCACATTTTTGCTGTTTTTACTGTATTTTTGATCAAATAAATGCAGCCTTGGTGAGATCTTACAGACTCCTTAGACATTAGTTAGTTCTAAAAAATTATACATTGAATGCCATAATACTGTCTTGTAAACTTTTACAAGCATGAGTGATTTGGATCAAGGCCTTCATATAATATAGCACAAGCGCTGCCCTCTGCTGATAATAAAACAGAAAAACACTACATAAAAACTACGCAAATATCCTCTGATTGGAGAAGAGGTCTGTACGCGACTGCTTTAATGCTTCATCTCCCTCATGAATTGAGTCGTGGTAAAAGCGCAGCTTATGTTCTTCATGTCTGCGTCTGTTTTCAAGGACTTTAATCCTCCTATAGGGAGCAGAACAGGAGGTCACGGGGTCACATCATCCTGCTTTAGTTATTATTCAGCTTTCATTGACTTAATGTCTTTTGTTGGTACGTGTGTGTGTCCAGAACATATTCATCCTGGTTTGGAGTGTGTTTACGGCAGTTTAAAAGGTTACAAGTAATTCCGTCCATTGTTAAACATCAAAGACAAGACTAGTTTCCTGTTGCCGGCAGCTGTAGAATGGTTGCTTAGCGACCGCATCGAAACATTCTAAACACCGTTCAAAAACTGTTACATTGTATCGGTGAGTTCTGCACATGCAAACCCACTCAGATGATCTTCAGAAGATGCTGGAACCTCGTAATCCGTGTTTCTTGGCACGTCAGACATCTGTAGTTTGAATAACTGATGATTATAGAATCGCTCTGGCTCCGGATCTGCTGGCGATGTTAAACAGGCTTTCTGTCCGCGTGCGTCCCAGGACGATTCCTAAAGGAGCTTATACTGTAATATCCTGATGAAAAGGGTTTGTTCTAAGCTTTCACTACATGCTTATATGATCACAACTGGGATGCAATTTGTTCCAGTGGGCTTCGGTGCATTTCGACCACCTCTCTTCTCAGAGTGAGATGGAGCTTCTTTCCTGCCGATTCGACGCTGTAAATTGGGAGCGTTTTTATTCACTACATGCTTATATGATCACAACTGGGATGCAATTTGTTCCGGTGGGCTTCGGTGCATTTCGACCACCTCTCTTCTCAGAGTGAGACGGAGCTTCTTTCCTGCCGATTCGACGCTGTAAATTGGGAGCGTTTTTATCAGAGTCTTCGTCATGATCCCGACTAAGATGTTGGTGTACCGGAGCCCAGACGGGGCCACGCGCACCGAGGCCCTACTGAACACACGCAGACGCAAGAAGTCCTGCGGCGAGCTCTTTCACAACGGCTACCGTGTGAAGATGCTCCACGCGCCCGTCTGTGAGAAAGAGGAGCGTGACGACTCTCAGCACACGCTCTCCTCGTGTTTCCATGCCGTCTCGTACTGGGGTAAGAACTGATGCTGGAATCCGCACGGATTGATGGATGTTTCCCGACCGTTCGTCCAAGAACAAGGAGGCAGCATTAAGCAGCTTTACAGAGGTTTCCTCTTGTGTTTGGAGAAAGTTGCTTAGTTTTCATTTGGCAGTGATTCTTGAGACATGGGACAAAACAAAACGCTAAAAATAACATTTCCACTTTGAAAATAATCAGAGATTAATTTAGTCCCATTGCAATTAATTCAATACGACATTTGTCAATATTTGTAATAATTTAATTTCTGATACAGAATCTATGAACATGTTTAATAAATTAATCTAAATAATAATAACAAATTATTAATATTACTAATAATTAATGTAAAATTATTAATTGTTGCATTAATTTCTTCCATTTTTGTGACCTTTTGTCCCAGATCTCAAGAACCTGTTTTTTTTTTAAGCTCATGTGTGTTTAATCATAGCTTATGAGCTTATCTTCGGAAGACTCTGAACATCATTTTAAACTTTTAATCATTTGTTAAGGTCATTCATAATCAGTATTCCACTTGAAATGCATAAAACCAAACCACAAGCTAAGGGACAAAGGCAGATCCTTTTTCTCATGTGCATGCATTTGTTGTGCATCAAGCGAAAGTCAAGTGCATTGCATTATGGGATGCAATATTACATGCAGTAGGCTTTGTTGTTGTATATTGCAAATGTTGGCTGGTGTTTCATGCACACTGTGTCTAATATGCATACTATAGTCTGTCCTGCAGAAATAATGCAAGCAGTACTATTGAGAACACAGCCATAGCTCCAGTTTAGTGTCTGTCTTTTTCTGGAAAGTGGACTGTACGATGTTGAGCAATGAAAAATCAATGATTGAATGTGAATGAGTAGATCGCTCTGCTGTATGATGATATTTGTGTGAATCTGTCATGCATTTGTGTGTGTGTGTGTGTGTGTGTGTGTGTGTGTGTGTTCATAATAAGCAAGGTCACCTCATTGAAGTCACATGTTTTTCTCTCTGAGGTTTTTTTTTTTGTGGTAAAGCTTCTGAAACCAGCACTCAAATTTAGGCATTTACGTCATGAGTGTTGAGCCGACTGTCTGTCGAGAGACAAATAAACTCCATCCAGATGTATTCAGTCCAGCGCTGCGGCTCTCATCTTTTGGCGCTTTCAAAGACTGATATTTGAATATTTCCTGCAATATTTTGAGGGTTTTCTTTTTTGTAGCTGCGGTTAGTTTGTATTGTTAGCTGTGTTTTTACGGGCTGATGAAATCAGTGTCGTTGTTAAACATGGACGAACACTTTAAAGGTACGAGCTGAACTCGATTCTCTGTGTTTTAATGTGTGTTATGATGTTCTGCATCTCGATGTTGTTTCATGAGAGTCTTAAGTGTGTTTCTTACTTGCTTCTGCTCTTTCATGCAGGATTGAGGTTCTTAAGAGCCTTGAGGCTGATCCAGTTTTCAGAAATATTACAGTTTTTAAATATCTTAAAAACAAGGTAAGAATGCCTTCATGTGCAGCATGTGATTTCTGCACTCGTGTCAAAAAATGTGTTTATAATTCTTCACCTGCATGTTCTTTTGCGTTATCCTTGATCTTAAATAAAAATCATGCTTTTTTTATAAATCTGATAACATTATATCATCTAGGGACGCTTGCATTTTATATTTTGTGCTTTGTACTTTGAACTTTAGAGTAGTTATTTTAAAGTGTGTAATCACCGTTTAAGTTTTTTTTTTTTTCAAAACATGATTTTACAGAATATAATAAAGAGTATGTTCATCAATTGACAAATAGTTTAACTGCAATTTAGTCTTTTATATTATATTATATTATATTATATTATACACTCAAAAAAAGTCTGTATAAATAGGGTATAAAGTACTGTATTAATATGAATACATTTACCAAAATATCTTTAAAAAATGTTTTGGAAAATTACCAGTACATTCTCCTTTTTCTATTGATTCTTTTTTAAATGTTATTATTAATATTATTATAAAATTTTGTTATAGCCAGTATTTTATTTCTGCCTGTGGTGCTTGAATATCTTTGACATTGTTCTCAGAAATCTGTCCGTCTCCCTGCAGCTTAGATCTAAAGCTTTAGTGCAGATGTCCAGGAGAGTTTATTGTGCAACAGAATGAATAATCTCAGTGCAATTCATTCAAATGGAGAGGTGAAATCTACTGAATAAACTGTGCCAAAACAATCTGAAATGATTTTTGGACTAAAATTGGCCAGTATTATACAAAGAACCTTTAGTCATCCGAGTTATTTCTGTTCTTTTGAAAATGTTTTGTTTGTATGAGGTTTAGCAGGCTTTCCAAAATATGCTCTGGTTGAACTCAAATTTATGTGCAGTATTAGTTAAAAAATGTTGATTCATGTGAGTATCAGTTGTGAGTTGATGTGAGTATTTCTAAAATTTGTTTTCATAGCAACTCCATAAAGTTGGTGAATTTGTGCTCAATCTTTATAAGCACATGGCTGACGGCAGCGGGCTTCATTCATTTGGTAAGTCAATCGCATCAGGAATGAACTGGATGGTGAAAAGCTACATTTTGATGAAAGATCACGAAAACATACTTTTTCTTCTTTAGAATAATGTCCACTAATGAATCATTAACAATAGCACAAATACATGTATCGAGAAAGAGGAATACTTCACCAAAAATAAAAATGAAAGATTGTTTCTTTATCAGATTTGGAGAAATGTGTCATTGCATCAGTGTCTCACCAATGGATGCTCTGCAGTGAATGGGTGCCGTCAGAATGAGAGTCCAAACAGCTGATAAAAACATCACAATAATCCACACCACTCCAGTCCATCAGTTAACATCTGGAGAAGACAAAAGCTGAAACAAATCCAGCATTAAGACGTTTTAACTAAAATACATAATTCATAATAACGCTTCCTCCAGTGAAAAAGTCCAGCTCCTGTTGTCTCTCACATCAAAATCCAGCTACATATTAGTTTAGAGCTCTCTCATTCTGACGGCACCCATTCACTGCAGAGCATCCATTGCTGAGACACTGATGCAATGCTACATTTCTCCAAATCTGATGAAGAAACAAACTCATCTACTTCTTTGACGGTCTGAGAGTGCGCACATTTCATTTTGGGGTGAACTATTCCTTAGGATGAGTTTTGCTTTCATGTTGACAAAGTAAAGCTTAAGTAGAAATACCGAGCCTGTTGGTGTGTTTTCAGGTGGAAAACTCAGGGGATCCTTGGGAAAACTTCCAAAATTCCCAACCGCTTTCCTACTGGGAGTGTGTGTACTTACTCATGGTAACCATGTCCACAGTGGGTTATGGAGATGTTTGTGCTAAAACAACCCTCGGACGCCTTTTCATGGTCTTCTTCATTCTCGGAGGATTGGTAAAAAGCCTAAATAAATAGAAGCAATCCCATAATAATTCACCCACAGCCTGCATTTCTGCCTCCAATTATCAGGTCCCTAATCATTGTATCCTTGACAACCAGAGCTGGAAAACGAACCCTTCATTTGGCTTCAATCCCATCCAAACATTCCTAGCTTCTGCTCGTCATGATGGAAAGATCTTCACGTGTTTCTGCTTGTACTGCATTGCGTGTTTTGGTTCTTAAGCAATTTTTTAAGTATTTCTATATTTCAAATGCTATATTTGTTGATTTCATGTGATTTCAAGTGGAACCATCATTAGGGAGTACAAAGTTATTCTGTTTGTAGAAATCATGACTGACTGCGGTTTTAGACGACCCGACCCAATTTACCCCACCCCAACTCCAACAAACTCTATGAAGGGTTGAGATATGAGATACACTCCGTCACGATGCCAGCATACATCATACATACATGACTGTCTCAAATTAAAGTGGTATTTAAAGAAATATATTGTTAAAATAATTGTAGAAGTAAATACAAATATTTATAGAAATTAATATGAAAAAAATAATAATATTTTGTACATATTAAAACTAACATTAGATTTAATATAAATAATTTTTCATAAAGTTTGTAAAGACAGATATATTTTGGTATTAATTGTAGTATGTATTGCAATGCTTTTATAAAAACATTAAGGACACATTAGTGCACAGATCTTTACAATTTTTCATTTCTTTTCAATCTTAATTCATTTATTAATTTAATTTATTTAATAATTAATTTTATATTTACATTT